TCAGTGTTAGGATGTTGAATAGCGTGTAAGTCGGGGGGGCAACTCACCTCACAGTAATTTCACCAGACGATGCACATGGGACTCGGATGTGATGGACTGAGTTCTGAGCGCTGAATAACCTCCGAGTTGACCTGGCTAAAAAGGTTACGCGCCATGATGGCCTCTGCATGTGGATCCATCCGCGCATTTTGAGTGACTAAGTGAGCTATGAGTCCCCTATCATCTCATAGTTAGTCTCAGTTCTGATATTTAGCTGGGGCGGGTTTTGGGGTCTTACACGGTCCTAGTACAAGGGATGACAGATGTCACCTCATTCCACCGGGATAGTCAAGGCAAGCAACCACTTGCATGAGTAAGAGTTGGTTAGATACCGTGTTGGGCGCTGATTGAGTGATGGATGAGATGTTCCGTCGCGTCCAGGGGTTCCAAAAACACTCTTGGGATGTGTTTGCCGGCCCGTTGCCGGCTGCCAGATGGCCAGACTTCCTGGGTTGTCAACTTGCCCCATCTGTTAGCGATTAGCGAACAAAGGGCTGATTCATCTCATCGCCCAGCAAACCCCACAGCGGAAGCGACCCCCCCACGTGCCTTCCCCAGCAAGGCATTCCAGCGGAATTCCAGCGAATGCAGCGCTGTTACCATCTGATCTGATCTCTAACGACGACGTCATGGGGGCCAATCATCTGCCCCTCGTTCCCGGATCAGGAGATGGCATCTGGAGATAGTGCGCATACATACGAATAATATCGAAAGCTTATTTATTCTGGTCAAGACAAGTCGCAATTACCTGTTAAACGGGCACGCCAAAGCTGTCAGTTCTGCAAACCAGCTATTCTTGGTGGACTCTAAAAAAAGAGGTGATCCGGGAGGTTCAGACAAAGACACCTTTGATGGCCTCAGCGGAAACATACGAGGCATTTCTCTATCCCCCAACCTGCCGCTTGGGTCTCTGGTTATCTTCACAACACAGAACCCATCAAGCTCATCAACGAGATTCTGAAGATGGAGGATGCCAGCGGTGAGCACATCGAAGACCATGCACGCGCCTTTGAGGCCGATGGCAAGAAACTGCCCAGCCATGAAGCAGTCGACCAGGCCCATCTCGACCCTAGCCGATGGTGGTATGCTTCGGCTGCCTTTCCCATGATCGCCGGTACTCTGGGACCTGTCGCTTCCGCCTTCAGTATATGCGCTCTGGTCCGTCCCTGGAGGCAGATGTATCCTCCTGGAACCGATGTCGACGATGCCGCCTTCATCGCCGACCCGCTATGGTTGACCATCATCAATGCCATTCAGCTGGCCATTGCTCTTGTTTCCAACTTCTCTTTGCTTCTCAACATGACTCGGAGGCTTAGGTTTTCCATCGCCCAACCAATAACAATCATCGGCTGGTACATATCATCCATCACCCTGATCGCCCTCACTGCCACCGCCTCTGGGCCGTTACTCATCCCCCCTGACGACTTGTACATCTGGTCACAGGCTTTCTACTACGCCATATACTCGGCCATCCTATATTTTCTGGTCTCCTTGCTGATGACAGTCACCTTTATGGGCGCTCATAGAAGGCATTATGAGAAAGACTTTATGCTCACTCCCTCCCAAAGGACACTGATGTTGCAAACCATTATGTTCTTGATGTACCTCCTGGTTGGAGCCCTGGTCTTTGCCAACATCGAGAGCTGGGATTATCTGGATGCGGTGTACTGGGCGGCAGTGACACTATTCACCGTCGGCTTTGGCGATTTCTACGCAACAACGACCCTCGGTCGATCCCTGCTCATACCCTACGCGCTTGTAGGTATCATCAGCCTCGGTCTCGTCATTGGATCCATCCGCAGCCTTGTACTGGAACGCGGCAAGCACCGTTTCGATGCCCGTGTGACGGAGAAAAAGCGTCGCAACATGCTGCGTCGCTTGACCATGAAGGGCAAGGACGGCATCCTCGAGCCCATCAACGAACCCCCACGTAGGCGGTCATCCGCAGGCCTGTCGCCTGTCTCAAACGACACGGGGCTGAGTGAGCTTGAGCGGAGAGAACAAGAGTTCAAACTCATGCGCAGGATCCAAGAGGACGCGGCACGCAGGCGGCGGTGGTATTCTATGGCCATCTCGGCGAGCACCTGGTTGGTCTTATGGCTGGTCGGAGCCCGCATATTTCAAGAATGTGAAGAGTCGTACCAAGGCTGGACGTACTTTGAAGCCTTTTACTTTTCTTTTGTCAGTTTGACGACAATCGGGTACGGCGACGTGACTCCCGTCTCCAACGCTGGCAAGTCGTTTTGGGTGTTCTGGGCCCTCCTCGCACTGCCGACCATGACCGTTTTAATCTCCAACGCCGGCGACACTATCGTTAAGGGCATCCGCGATACCACTGACCACATCGCCTTGATCACCATTTTACCAGGCGAGCGTGGCTTCAAGAAAGACGCGAAACTGGTTCTCAAAACATTGTCGTTCGGAACCCTGTTTAGCGAGGAGATTGAGGAGATGCCAGCAGGGTTTCTGGGCGAGGCACAACGGAGGGACGACCTTGACGAAGATGACGATGACGATGACGATGATGCCGACGATGTTGAGACCTCAATGGCAAATGATCAAAAGGAACTCGACGCGGAGGGCGCAACCTCCTCTGCAGTGAAAGAGAAGCGCAACGAAGAAAATGCCAAAGATGAAGAAACACACGCGAAGCGGGTGGAAGCATTTACCGAACACGAGAACCAGCAGAGCAGCAAGCAAAGCGAGCCCAGCAAAACCAGAAGCATTACTTTTGCATCCCGCGACAACTCGCCGCATTCGAGAGCAGGAAGCAAGCGACCGCCGTCATCGCGGAGCGCCAGTCCCAACGCCTCGTCTCAAATGCTGAAAATGACAGGACGCACTATGTCCATTCCTAGGCAGATACTGCCCGATATCCCAAACAACGCGGCCGACTACCACGTCATATTAATTGAAGAGATTGGGCGGGTGACGCAGCACCTCAAGAATCACCCGCCACGAAAATATACCTTCCAGGAGTGGGCGTGGTATTTGAAACTTATCGGCGAGGATGAGAGTGACGCAGCAAGGCATCGCAAGGCACAGTCGTTCGTTATCCACAGCGACAACAAAAAGTTGAGAGAGAAGCTGATGGCTTTGCGCAACACAAAGAAAAACGGGAGCGAAGGGCAAGTTGGGGATGACGATGACGAGGAGGCGAAAGTCGAGGTTGAACACGAAGAGACGGAGAGTAAATGGAGCTGGGTCAGCAGCCAGAGCCCTCTCATGGGCTCCCAAGAGGAGGCCGAGTGGATCCTTGAGAAGCTTACGATAAAGTTGTCTGATGAGCTGAAGAAGGTGAGTCAGATGGGTAAGCGGACTGTCCAGGTGCAGGGGGTGAGGAGGAGGAGTGGTGAGCATGGCGTATTGAGGAAGACTGCAACGGGGTTTTAACACATCCAATGGGTTTATCGTGTTTACATTGGACTTTTGATTTTCATATTTGCATCTCGGCATAGCATGGAATCATTGGTTTGTGGGATGTTTGGAACTGGTTAGGCGCCATGGCATGCAGTCGGGATACCCAATGATTGCTGGACTTTCTGAATGACTAGCGATAGGGAGTATGGCTTGCTTTTTTTTCTTAACGTTGGAGTATTACCGCTGTTCCTTTATTTAGTCTTGATGCCTCTGCAAGCTCTTGCGCTCAATCTGAGTCTTGTCAGGTACCGCCCCTTGTTTTACCAAATGGCCCTGTGCAGCCAGATACACAGTTCCAAGATATTAGCAGCTAGGGGGGCCGAGGTGATGATACTGAAATATATGAATGGCACCAGAGTCTAGAGCTGAGAAACCCAGCTGAAGAAACCATCTGGGGTGCGTGGGGGAGATCAAGAGATTCACAGGTCGGGCTAGGCGATTGTACTGTATAGGCCACTTTACAGATGTCAACTGTCGACAAGGATTCGGAGTGTGTCGAACATCAACTCCTGCGGTGTAGTGGTTCCTTGTTGGTTCCAAAGGTTCCCTTTGGTTGTGGTGCTATCTAGCTTCCGCTCTCTCCTGCCGAACCCAAAAAAGCCCTCGGATTGCAGCAGTCATAGCCTCGCTTGTTCTTTCCTCTCCAAACTAGGATTCCAACGCAACTTCCGTTTATAGCCTCTTTCCGAGCTACAATTTTCAAATACTTGACGATGAGGTAGGCAGTTAGGTACTGCACCTTTCTACTTGGTCAAATTCGGGCACTTTCCCTTTGTATCACCTTGCCGTACCGCACCTTCCCTCCGCCGGAGAAAAAAAAGGCTCCATGCTTCTCTTCATCCCGTCCTGCGTCCATACCGTAGATATAATTGTGTAAAATATTTGCGTCCGTAGAGTTTCTCCTGCTAGATGTCGGGGCTGAGATTGACGTGGCTCATGTTGAGGAAGGCACGCCACTGCAACACGCCGCTTTCCGTTGACATGACAAGAAGTTCAAGGTGGTTCCGGATGCAAACACTATCATTAGACTTATTGGCGGAGATAGCAACACGCCTCTTGACCACACACGCTTTCATCAGAGGGCCAGGTTCTGAACTCTGCCGAGCACCTTCAGTAGGCGTGCGCGGTCTCTGTAGAAAGTGATGACTGGTCGGATCCTGATCCCAGTATTTTCATGTCTTCGACCCCAAAGAGTCACATTTTCTTTCCTTTATCTTGTTTCATTCTCCCTTACTTTGTCATCTTTCATCAATTCTCCTTCTATCTTTACCTCAAATGAAACCGTTCAGTTTCGTCCGAAATATTGACTCCGAACCTTATCTCCCGCCTGAAGACAACTTTCTTCACCTTTACTCTAAACTCTATAATTTAACCTCGACTTCAACCTTATTGACAAACGGACCCAAATAAACTCCCCGCAATTTATGTTTAGAGGGAGACTCGAAGCTGCGCCGCGCAAATCGCATCCTTCGGGTCACCGACGAGGTGGGTCTACTGTCTTAGACCAATGCTCAGACCAATTAAACCAATCAGATTGAGGCGGGCTGTTGGTCTAGCGGTATGATTCTCGCTTTGGGTGCGAGAGGTCCCGGGTTCAATCCCCGGACAGCCCCTATTTTTGATGTCATCTCACCTTTTCTGCCTCTCGTGCTGTCATCCCAAGTATCCAGGACGGACGAAACGAGGTTGTGTCAATTTTAAGGTTCATCTTGGTGCTTTCGTTCAGATGAAAGCGCCCTATTTACATTTTTTGCCATCTCACTTATATATATCTCTTATTGGTTAACATGATGCTTAAATGATTAAACACCTCTCAGTGAGGAAGGGCAATACTAAGGCATGTCATTTCTCTCATGGTCCGCATTACCAGGCTCAGCTGTGCATATACATATTTTTTCGCTTTCATCTGATCGGCTAGCTAAACCGATAGACCATCCATACTGTGCAAAGTAAACATCCACCCACCCACATAAACTCACAATTAATACAGACAGATAGATATAGACCACCGCCATGGCTCCTCTACTCACCTACTTGCTGCCTGCTTTCCCTTTTCACCCTTATCCGCCACCAGCGTTGGAATGCGACGTTCCAGGCCGGCTGCTCCCCAGCCTCTTCAGCTTACTCCCCTTGGTGTTAAACAAGCTCTTCACCCGCCTCAAGCGGGACATCATGGCCTGGTCCTTCTTCTTTCTTCCTTCTTCTGTGTCCTCATACCCTGCCTCTACTTCCTCGTCATCATCTTCATGTCCTTCGTCCGTTGCTCCTCTTGCTTGACCATGAACCGTAGCCAGCGTTGCGCCGCGCGGTCTCGCTGCCGACGTCCCGGAGCGCTCAGGCGTCTTTAGTATCTTGGGAGTACCGGTAGTGGGGACGGTGCTCTTGCTCCTGCTATGCGCAACACCCACGCGCTGGCGGATGAAGGCTTCGTTGCGCAGCAGCTGCACGAGCACCTCCCAGCCGGCCTTCTCCGTCTCGTCCGGCGCAAGCGGCTTCGCGCCCGGGTTGCGCTGCGCGGCGCCGTTCTTCCACGCGCAAAAGAAGCGGTGCTCGCGCAGCGGGTCCAGGTGGTCCATTGGCGCCGGCACGAGCACCGTGTTGGTTTCCGGGTCGACTTGCTTGCTCTTGAACATCCAGAGCCCCAGCCGTCGGAGGCAGGTATGGCAGGATGCACTGTTGGGCACGGCGCCGCCGATGCGCGGGTTCGAGAGGCCTGCCCAGCCGAGGACGGCGAGGGCGATGGCTGTGCGGTTCGGGTGAGGGCGCGGGGTGGTGGTGGAAGGTGCTGCTGCTTTGGCGGGAGGCGGCTCAGTAAAGAAGTTGGGCGGGAGGTAGGACAGGATGGTGTTGACGTCGAGGCCCTGCGGTAGGCGGAGATTGAATTCGTAGGGGAGGAAGTCTTTGCGCTCGCAGAGCTCGTCGTAGCGTTGGCGGAGATCTTGGAGGGCTTGCTGGGCGTTGGGGAGGGGAACTCGGAGGAGGGAGTCTTTTGTGAATAAGCGCGTTTTTTGTTAGCCAATGGATCTCTCAAAAAATCTAAACTCGAAGTGAGGAGGAGCGAGTATCTAGCCGTTTCATACCATCACATCCCTTCTTCCGCCACAGACAGTCCTCCGCATGCGATTCCACAATCAGCTCAGCGTACTTGTCGACAACCGACTCGGCAATCTCAGACGCAATCAGCACGGGTATCTCCTTGCCGTCCACCTCCTTGCGGTTCAGCTTGACCACCAGATCGCGGCTGCACAGCGTGCACTGCACGCGCTCCTTGCCCTGGCACACCCATCCGCGCTTGGCCCACTCGACCTCGTTGACGCGGTCCGGCTTGGGCGTCCAGTCGGTGATCTCCTGGAACGTGGCCAGCCGCCGCAGCAGCTGCTCACGGTCGCCTGGGCAGTACTTGGGCGGGCCCTTGTCCTTTGTTGGTGTTGCTGCTGGTGCTGCCGCTACCCACGCTGAGGAAGGGTTTCTTCCCCCCGCAACGCCCCCAGTCGGCGTCCATTTTCGGAGCGTGATGTTCGAGATGGTCGTGGTGGCGCTCCGGGCGGGCAATAGGCCTGCTGCGGTGTCCTGCTTTGTCGGCGTCGTCGTGGTAGTTAGGCCTGAGCCGCCGACCCGGCGCTTCTTGGCCAGAATTTCGAGGTTGTCGTAGGCCATTTTCTTTTTGGAGGAGGATGAGGTCGCGGTCGCGGGCCGAGATTTGTCTAGCAAGCTGCCATCGCGGGATGAAGAAGGTCTGCTGCCGTCGTTTGGGGGCGCTGAAGCGTCGGCGGAAGACGAAGGTTCTTGTTGTGGTCGATTGCCGATCCCTTGCAGGAGGGCATTGAATTTCCGTTTAACAGCGGCATTCATTATTATGCTGTCTGGGATGGCTGAGGTGTGGATGGGTAATAATAAGTCACAGTCCCCCAACAAACTTTGCCGCCTCTAATTGATTGCACTGTACCGCGCCCGTCTGGGCAGCCCGCCCCGTAGAAATGCCTTTATCCTCAATGTGATGGAAGGAAATTATATCGCTTTCGCTTTCTTTCCGGGTATTATTTATCTTCGCAACGGGTGGTCTAGAAATCGGAGAGCTGGCTGACGGTTTGGATGTTGATTTGGCCGATGAGATCAACAAAGGAACTCCCGTTCCTGCAGACGCTGAAGCTCGCCCCAAGTTTGATCACTTGCAGGGATGGGGAGAGGACCACCTAGGCTTTGGGGGCGGGGAGGCCTGACCTGCAGTGCCGCTAAGTCACCTCGGAGCTGGAGTGTGATCACTAAAATGATGGAGCCCCGCCATGCACCTTGGTTCCTCAACTTTATCTAGGTTGGCTTCCGACGATTCATCCCAGCGAGCTTCCATCCCTCCAAAACCTGCCCCATCGGCCACGGGAACTGAGGAAACACGTCAAGTATGAGATATTGCAAGGTTTTCTGGTACTGTAATTCAATTTGTAACACGCTGTATTTATATAAAGATTATAGAGCCAAAGCCATGGACTCATGTATCCGCAACAACCTAAAAATCGCTGCGAACAAAAACAAGGGGTATCTTCACCACAAAGCAACTCAGCTTGTTCGCAAATCGCTCTCTTGCCCGGCTATGCCTTCACCACAACAGTTTCATGGGTTACAGCCTCCTTTCTCGTCACCTCTCCGCCGTCACCAATCCTCCTCTCCCTAAAACCAAATAAGAACCGACTTCTCAGAGCGAGGGAGCTCAAGACAACACTGATACTGCTGAGCGCCATGGCCAGGCTTGCCCACACAGGATCCAGCCTGACATGAGTCCCATTGCTCACAATGGGATAAAACGCACCTGCCGCCACGGGCACGGCTAAGCAGTTGTATACAACGGCCCAGCCAAAGTTGAACTTGATTCTTCGAAATACCATGGCAGACAAGTCAAGCAGAGTGACGACGGAGCGGAGATCGCTCTTGACGAGGACAAAGTCAGCACTGCTTATGGCAACGTCGGATCCGGAGCCAATGGCAATGCCCACGTCGGCCGTTGCCAGCGCCGGGCTGTCGTTGATGCCATCTCCGACCATGGCAACCATGGCGCGGCGCGTAGTCGACTCGCTCGAGCTGCCTGTCCGCGCTTTGAGCGTTGACTGCAGGTAGGTGATCTTGGCGGCCTTCTCAGTCGGCAACACGCCCGCAATAACCTGGTCTGCGGGAATGCCGAGCTGCTGGGCGACGGCAGAGGCTGTAATCGAGTTGTCGCCCGAGAGCATCCACACTCGGGTGCCGCGAGACTGGAGCGCACGGATGATGTGTGGCGCTTCGGGCCGGATGGGGTCCGAGACGGAGAGGGCCGCAACGACTGACCAAGCCGAGGAAGCGATGGGTCGGCTTGCAATAAGAGCCACTGATTTGGCTTGGCTCTTCCAAAGTCCGATGCTGGAGTGTTGTGGGACAGTGGCCGACAAATCGGCCATGAATGCCTCATTGCCAACGGCAATCTCGAATGACTCTTCTGTAGTGGCTGCCTCGTATGTTCCCTTCAGCCCTTTCCCTGGGATTTCTTGCACGTTCTCGATCGCAACTCTGGACGACGTCTGCTTGGCGCAAAAAGAAACAACTGCTTTAGCGATGGGGTGGCTGCTACTTTCCTCCACTGTTCTGAGCGCAGCCAAAAGACGTGTCCACTGTGACCCGGCCTCTGCTTCTTCGACAGATATGCTCTGATAGATTTCAGAGTCCGTGATGCTTGGTTCTCCCCCCATTGTCAGGGTCCCAGTCTTGTCAAAGACAACACAATCAATACGGCTTGCTTTCTCAAAGGCCTCACCTCCGCCCTTCGCAAGAATGCCATGTTTTGCTGCAAGGCCGCCCCCCACAAATATTGCTGTGGGAGCTGCAAGAGCAAGGCCGCAAGGACAAGCCACGACGAAGACGGCAATTGCAAACTGTAGGGAGAAGGCTACCCAACCGCCAGACGATACGTCAAGAAAATGACCCGGGATTCTTCCGCCCAAACCCAAAGACAGCCAGATAATCCACGTCAGTATCGCGATGAGCGTGACGACAGGGACAAAGTACGTCGTCATGAGATCGGCGACCTGTTCCATCGGCGCACGTTTTGTCTGGCCCTCGCGAACCACTCGGACGATCTGGTCTAACAGTGATTGCCCAGCAACGCCGGTAATGCGTACCAGAAGCGACGAATCCTTGTTGACAGTGCCCGCAAAAACTTCGTCCCCCAGAACCTTCTTCACTAGGCGAGACTCGCCCGTCAGGCTGGACTCGTCAAAATTGCTCTCTCCCTTGATAACTCTACCGTCTGCTGGAGGTGAAGCCCCGTGAGGGATACGCACAACGTCACCAAAGTCCAGCAGGTCCGCCTTCACGACAACATCTTCCTCCTTTTCAGAACCATAGCCCTCGACCAAAGTGGCTGTTGTGGGGCGAAGTTTTCCCAACATCTCAACAGCGTCACCGGTCCTCGACTTGCTGTAACTCTCTATCAGCCTTCCCACCAGGAGGAAGAACGTCAGAAACACAACCGAATCGAAGTAAAAGTTGGAGTCTTTGATCTCCATGGGCTGTTCCACTGCCGCGGCGATGAGCTGGCTCACCGATGAGATGTATGCAATGGTCGTCCCGAGCGACATGAGCGTGTTCA